AAGTGTCTGTGGAAGTCCGCGCAATGCTTTAGACTGCGGTGCAGTCTTTGTTTTGAAGCTCAGGCTAAAACAGCACATGGACATGGATGGCTGGTGTCTCTATAAATCAATCATTGATGGTCGGTCAAGGTTTTGAAGCTCTCTTTCGTTTCTTCAGAAGAGGAATAGCACAACTTGTTAGCATCGCTTTTATAGTTTTTCACTCAAGTAGGGTAACTTTGTTCGCAAAGTCCGCGGTTTTTTTTTAAAAGAAGGCGCTACCGCATTTTGAGGACACTTCTTTAATTGGTTCAAAGAGAGAAGTGAATTATCTTGTTATGTACGATATTTCATCATACTCAACACTAGTAGTAGTAGTAGTATAAGGTTTTACGGCGCTCGCAACTGCTAAGGTCATATGAGCGCGCGAAACACAAGTTGTTCACCTCTGCGAAAGTTCACTTCACGACTGGTAACTAATTTACTTTAAAATGCTAAAAAGTTAAAATATTCAAATTCGGTGTAAATACATTTGTTTTGCGTCGCTGTTGCAGTGTTACCCATAAAAACAACAAAATCACCATCTACGAAAACATCAACAACAACCAGCAGCGATAACAACAACAACAACAACAACAACAACAACAACAACAACAACAACAACAACAGCAACGACAAAGTTGACAACGACATCATCAAAAAGAAAATTTAAAACAGTAAAAAAAAAAAAAGTTACAAAAACAACATCAACGACAAAAACAAAAAAACCCAAACAAATTCAAAACAACAATAACATAAACACAACTAGACAGCAACATAAACAAAAACACCATCAAGATCATCATCAACAACAACACCATACCACCACCAACAACATCAACAACAAAACAACAACAACAATAACAACAACAACAAAAACAACAACAACAGTAATAGCCACAACAAAATAAAACCATCAACAGTAACAACAGTAGCAAAAACAACAACAACAGTAACACCCTCCTTCCGGGGCCCTTCCACACACACACACACACACATAT